GGAAGGAGGACTGCGTAACAATATAGCAGACTCTGATCAACATTCCCAGCGCAAGTGTGAAGGAGGTGAGAACGAGTGTGGAGCGTAATGAATTTTCATGAATGCCGCTCAAAGGAGCACCCTACACTACATCGAAATAAGCACGGTATAAAGTGTAAGATTTAAGGCGTGATAGGAGGATATAGAAAATGTGAATAGCCCTAGGCAGAAGGGGAGTTACCACAACTGTTTAGCACACTTTTGGTTAAAGGATCGGCTACACTTGTCTCTTTGACGAGTTGTTGTCTGGTGCTAATGGCGAGACACATTGACGATGCCGGCGAAATGTCGGGAAATGTACCACGTCCACGGTCCGACTTGGGAAATGATAATGCATACAATGGACTACGGACTAGATACGTTCCTTTAATTTTTCCTACCAATATGACCAAGTTGCGAAAACAAGTTCAAAAAACCTTTATACAACGAAAGAAGACTGCGACCTCACAAATGGCCACATAATCTTGGTCTTAATAACTTTAATTAAACTCTGGAAGTAAGATTGTCAAACAACGCACTGATTACAGCCGGAAAAAGAAAACAATAGTAAGTCAATCCTGCAATCATTATGATATCGCTTCCAGATTCCTCAATTTAATGAGAAAGTGTCATTCTGACACAGTTAATAAAATACTTTATTACTCTCCATCCAGAAATAAGAGAAAATTTACGAGACTGAGAAGCGTAAGCTATTTAAGCTCATAGATCTCAAGTCCATATTAAGGAAGGATCTAGGTAGGGTTCTCACTTTGGATGATGTTTAAAAACTCCAGAGCATGACTAACCAAAGTCACAGATGGTCAGGGATCTGACAAATAAGCGGCATGACAAGAAATTGCTTAGCTTTGGGATAATAAGACAGCGCAAGACCAAGCCAACCTCGGTAAATTTTGATGGTTCTGTATTAAAGGCATCAAATGATACAGACAATAATAGGACTAAGGCAGTAAACCTATCTTCAATCCCCCTGGATTCTAAAACTACGGATCTCTTAAAGAAGGGATTACATTTTTCACTAAGTAATGAAGGAAACGTTCTTAGTGATATTCTGGTGTAAGTTGTCAACATAACGGATAAATATCCAGAAAAGACTGCATGTGCTGAAAATACGAGAGAACGCAAGATCCGAGAGGCCATCGATGTACTGACCGAGAGAAATCTAATGAACATGAGAGTTGAAGAAGGCAGGATCAGCGAAAACTTTGCATATTGCCTAAGCAAACTCGGAGAAAACTAGGCAACAACAAGATCAGCAAAAAAAGACGACTGGTTCATAGAAACATCCTTAATTTTAGGAAAAGAAATCGTAGGGGGATGAGAAATTG